GACTCCAATTCACCACGCACATAATGCAAAACTGCCCCGTGTCCGACAAAATCGACCGTCCGGCCGATGAAGACCTGCCAATAAAACAGAGGCACGCCCCACCCGTTCCCTCTGCAGTAAAAACTGTGAGAGCTTCTCACCACACAACCGTTCCTCCACCCTAGCCCGCACAAGTACCCCCTCAGCCATCTCCTCCCTCAGCCCACAATGAGATCCTTACACACCGAGATCTCCCGAAACCTATCTAAACCCTGATTCAGCAGCCATACAGACGAAATAACCGCGCCTGCAAGACCCTCAACAGACCAAACCTTCCCGACGCCTCCCGCTTCGCCATCACCCGAAAAAACGACCGACATTCCACCTTAGCCCACTCCCACCACTCCAGGACCGAGGGAAACGCCCCCTTCCAAGCGGCCAAAACAGCCCACCGGGCCCGGAACTGGGCACACACAACAGGGCATTTCAGCAACCCACAATTCAGTTTCCACCAGCCACGGCCAACCCACACCTGGCTGCAAATCCCCACCTGCAACACCACCATGCAATGGTCCGAGAACCCCACGGAAACCATCTGCAACGAAAAAAACGAACCACCCCCAGTAGGCACGTAAAAACGATCAAGGCGAGAGCAAGCCCCACGCGAGAGAAAATTGTACTCCAAAGGACCCCGTTGCAACACGGCCGCATCCCGAAACCCGCAACTCTTCAAGGTAGCAGTCAAAGCCAGCGAGATACTCGCTGGACGAAGACTATTGCTATCCCACGGCGACGTAATTCAATTAAAATCCCCCCCCCCAAAATCATCCCCCTCGTATTGTGCCGCAAAAAATGCAGCACATCACGGGAAAAGAAAACCTCCCGGTTCTGCCTCTGCGCCGCCCCAGATGGCACGTACACATTCAAGAGAGAGATCTCAGACCCCAAAAAGTGGTGGTAGAGGTAGTGACAGTATTGGTGGTGGTAGTGGGAGTGTCGGTAGTGGGAGTGGCTGAAGAGGGAGTGGTGGTAAAGGGAGTGGCAGTATTCGGTGTGGTGGTAGAGGGAGTGGCAGTAGTGGGGGTGGTGGTAGAGGGAGTGGCAGTATTGGGGGTGGTGGTTATCTTGAGATGATTTCGGGGCTTAGCGTTCCCGTGGCTTGGTCCTCGACCAGGCCTCCTTTTTGTTACACCCCCCCCCCCCAAGGAAGCAGCCCGTAGCAGCTGTCTAACTCCCAGGTACCTATTTACTATTATGAGTATGTTGAGGGGAGGAGTGGCCCCCACACATGAGAACACATGGAGTAGGAGACCGGCTAAATATGATGTAAGGGGCGTGAAGTGGTGCTCGAGGGGAAAGAGTGATAAGAGTGTGGGGGAGGGGATGGCCGGGGAGCCATCTGTTCAACACCGCCAACACAACAACACAACTTGCGCTCACCTAGTTGTACTCACCTAGTTGCGCTCTATCTTCTCTCGCTCTTGTCTCTCTTCTCTCGCTCTTGTCTCTCTTCTCTCTCTCTCCTCACTCTCTCTCCTCTCTTGCTGTCTCTCTTTCTTCTCTCTCTCTATATATAAATGCAATAGAGATAATTATAACTAATAATTCCAATAATTAATATTTAGAATTAATGTTTTAAAACCCTTTGCTCCAAAACGTTATAGCATAACATTTAAAACATCTTTATTAAAATGCCAAGACCTCATGTTTTATACGCACCTTACAAACTTTCAAAATACGTGTATAAACCGTATTTTAACACTTGATTAAAACTATAAAATGTCGTTTTTAAAACGTTAAGAAAACGCGAAAACGTTTTGTGGGATGTTGAGTAAACTTGGCAGGATAGTGAGTGTGGTGGTTAGTAGAGTGAAGGTGGAGGGTAGTGAGTGTGGTGGTTAGTAGAGTGAAGGTGGAGGATAGTGAGGGTGGTGGTTAGTAGAGTGAAGGTGGAGGATAGTGAGAGTGAGAGTGAAGGTGGAGGATAGTGAGGGTGGTGGTTAGTGGTGGTTAGTAGAGTGAAGGTGGAGGATAGTGAGGGTGGTGTAGAGTGAAGGTGGAGGATAGTGAGTAGAGTGAAGGTGGAGGAGTGAAGTAGTGAGGTGTGGTGGTTAGTAGAGTGAAGGTGGAGGATAGTGAGGGTGGAGGATAGTGAGTGTGGTGGTTAGTAGAGTGAAGGTGGAGGATAGTGAGTGTGGTGGTTAGTAGAGTGAAGGTGGAGTAGAGTGAAAGGTGGAGGTGAGTGTGGTGGTTAGTAGAGTGAAGGTGGAGGATAGTGAGTGTGGTGGTTAGTAGAGTGGAGTGAGGGTGTAGAGTGAAGGGTAGAGTGGTGGTGGAGGATAGTGAGTGTGGTGGTTTGTAGTAGAGTGAAGGTGGAGGATAGTAGTGTGGTGGTTAGGAGTGAAGTGGTTAGTAGAGTGAAGGTGGAGGATAGTGAGGGTGGTGGTTAGTAGAGTGAAGGTGGAGGATAGTGAGGGTGGTGGTTAGTAGAGTGAAGGTGGAGGATAGTGAGGGTGGTGGTTAGTAGAGTGAAGGTGGAGGGTAATGGGGTGGTGGTTAGTAGAGTGAAGGTGGAGGATAGTGAGGGTGGTGGTTAGTAGAGTGAAGGTGGAGGATAGTGAGGGTGGTGGTTAGTAGAGTGAAGGTGGAGGATAGTGAGGGTGGTGGTTAGTAGAGTGAAGGTGGAGGGTAGTGAGGGTGGTGGTTAGTAGAGTGAAGGTGGAGGATAGTGAGGGTGGTGGTTAGTAGAGTGAAGGTGGAGGGTAGTGAGGGTGGTGGTTAGTAGAGTGAAGGTGGAGGGTAGTGAGGGTGGTGGTTAGTAGGTGGAGTGAGAGGTGGAGGGTAGTGGAGGATAGTGAGGGTGGTGGGTAGTAGAGTGTGGATGGTAATGGGGTGGTGAAGGTGGAGGATAGTGAGGGTGGTGGTTAGTAGAGTGAAGGTGGAGGATAGTGAGTGTGGTGGTTAGTAGAGTGAAGGTGGAGGATAGTGAGGGTGGTGGTTTGTAGAGTAGAGTGAAGGTGGAGGGTAGTGAGGGTGGAGGGTAGTGGGGGTGGTGGTTGGTAGTGTGAAGGTGGGGGTGGAGGGTAGTATGTGGAGGGTAGGGTGGTGGTTAGGTTGGTGGTGAAATGGTGGAGTGATTGGTGGAGTGGTGGAGGGTAGTGGTGGATGTTTGTTTGTGGTGTGATGGTGGATGGTAGTGTTGGATGGTGGTTGATGGTGTGAAGGTGGAGGATAGTGGTAGATGATGGTTGGTGGTGTGAAGGTGGAGGGAAAGTGGAGGTTGGTGGTGTGATGATGGAGGGTAGTAGTGGATGGTGGTTGGGGATGTGATGGTGGTTGAAGGTGTGAAGGTGGAGGGTAGTGGTGTATGTTTGTTGGTGGTGTGATGGTGGAGGGAATTGGGGGATAGTGGTTAGTGGTGTGATGATGGAGGATAGTGGTTGATGTTTGTTGGTGGTGTGATAGTGGTGGATGGTGGTTAGAGGTGTATTGGTGGATGGTGGTTGGTGTGAAGGTGGAGGGCAGTGGTGGTTGGTGATTGGTGGAGTGATGGTGGAGGGTAGTGGTGGATGGTGGTTGGTGGTGTGAAGGTGGAGGGTAGTGGTGGATGGTGGTTGGTGGTGTGAAGGTGGAGGGTAGTGGGTGATGGTGGTTGGTGGTGTTAATTAGGAGGGTAGTGGTGGTTGGTGGTGTGAAGGTGGAGGGTAATGGTGGATGATGGTTGGTGGTGTGAAGGCGGAGGATAGTGGGAGATGTTATATTGTAATTTGTAGAGCATGGGTGCAAGAAGTAGTGGATGGTTTTGTGAGGGTGGGGGGTGGTGGTGTGGTTGGTGGTGGTGGTGTGTGCAGGGAAGGAGGTGATGAGGAAGTGAGCATGGGTGGTGGTACTTACCTATTAGTGTATAAGGGCAGCGCGTCCTCGTAAACGAAGGCCAAAGACCATTCCATGCACCCGCCACACCCCCTATTTATGAATGATGCAACCCGTCGTCGACTCAAGTCCATTACATCCAGCGGTCGACCCCACGGATGCATTCTTAAAGTTTTACATGCTGTTCATTCAAAACGGGAATTTTCTCACATGTAAATTAATATTATAATATATTTGTATATTATAACATTCAAAATTCCCGTTTTGAATGATTAGCATGTAAAAATTTATGAATGCGTCTGTGGGGTCTACTGCTGGATGTAATGGACTTGAGTCGAGGATGGGTTGTTTACCTACTTACTACAAATACAAATAATCGGCAACAGAACCTAAACATCTGACCTAACCTAACCAATGCCTAAATATATCCAATTTGATAATATATAATATATTAACTTATATGTGAGAAAACTTTGAAACTTCTGTTTTGAATGAACAGAATGTTAAAACTGAAGAATGCGTCTTTGGGGTCGACCGCTGGATAGAATGGGCTTGGTTTGAGGACGTGTTACTAAGGTAAGTGAACCATAGCTCTTTAAACCTCGCCTTCTCGGGACATTTTGTACTTGTTGCATGACAGTTTAACTATTCTCACGTTCACAATCTCTTAACATTTTTGAAGAGAGGTGGCATCTGCAACTTCTTCTTTCAGAGCATTCCTCGTGTTGCCTACACATACAGGGTGTGAGTATGTCCTTATCTTTCTTCTACTAACTTGGGTTTCCAACTTCAACTTACATCCGCTTGTTCTATAAAAACACGTTGTCCCTGTTCACCTTGTACATTACCCTCAGTATCTTGGATATTATGATCAATTCCCCTCAGTTTGTTAACTCCTCCCTGGTTGTGAGACGCAGTTCTCTTAGTTCTCATAGCTTAACCTTCTTAGTAACAGATCTCTACATTCTTTCTTATTCTTTTATGCTCATTTTTCTCTCTTGACGTCTCCTCTTTATAAAAGCATGAGTAAGAACTGGGAATATTGAAGGATAGTTTCCTGGTTGACCAGTATATTTATCAGTGTGGGCGTTGAGCGCGGGTGTACTTAGTGCGTGGTGGCCAGCCAGCCAGCCAGCAGTCATGCAGGGTGTTGGTTAGTGTGTAGTGTGAGTGTGGTGGTGAGAGTCATGTCTGTCTGTCTGCTGCCTCTCCTCTGTGTCCTGGTGGGCTGGTCGGCCGCCTTCCAGGAGGCCACCATGGACCACACGGAGGAGTTGGACTTGACAACTAACGTCATCCTCCCGGAGGCCACCATGGGCCACATGGAGGAGTTGGACTTGACAACTAACGTCATCCTCCCGGAGGCCACCATGGGCCACACGGAGGAGTTGGACTTGACAACTAACGTCATCCTCCCGGAGGCCACCATGGGCCACACGGAGGAGTTGGACTTGACAACTAACGTCATCCTCCCGGAGGCCACCATGGGCCACACGGAGGAGTTGGACTTGACAACTGTCATCCTCCCGGAGGCCACCATGGGCCACATGGAGGAGTTGGACTTGACAACTAACGTCATCCTCCCGGAGGCTATCATGGGCCACACGGAGGAGTTGGACTTGACAACTGTAATCCTCCCTGAGGCCACCATGGGCCACACGGAGGAGTTGGACTTGACAACTAACGTCATCCTCCCGGAGGCCACCATGGGCCACACGGAGGAGTTGGACTTGACAACTGTCATCCTCCCGGAGGCCACCATGGGCCACATGGAGGAGTTGGACTTGACAACTAACGTCATCCTCCCGGAGGCTATCATGGGCCACACGGAGGAGTTGGACTTGACAACTGTAATCCTCCCTGAGGCCACCATGGGCCACACGGAGGAGTTGGACTTGACACCTAACGTCATCCTCCCGGAGGCCACCATGGGCCACACGGAGGAGTTGGACTTGACAACTAACGTCATCCTCCCGGAGGCCACCATGGGCCACACGGAGGAGTTGGACTTGACAACTAACGTCATCCTCCCGGAGGCCACCATGGGCCACACGGAGGAGTTGGACTTGACAACTAACGTCATCCTCCCGGAGGCCACCATGGGCCACACGGAGGAGTTGGACTTGACAGCTAACTCCATTTTTAACCTGATTGCTATACACCAGCTGCAGGAGGAGCAGCGAGGCGTCCAGGAAGGTGAGAATAAGAACAAAGTTATGTTCACAGTTCCTTGGGAGTTTTTTTAATGAGTTAGTAAACAAAATATTTGCTGCTTATAAAAACATCACCATAAGGCACCAGTACAGAAGATAATTTATAGGGTTGAACACATCATAGTTACACATGTAAGGATACAATCTTGATAGAGGCAACTGTTTACAGGTGTGAACAATATGCAGATGGTGATGGCTAACCTGACTGAACTGATCTCCACTCACCTGATTCTTGATGACAATTATACGCAAGGTAAGGAGTCATATGAACAAATCCACAAGGGCAGTGACGAGGATTCGAACCTGCGTCCGGAGGCATCCCAGCACGGGTGCAGGGAAGGGGGTTGTGTAATAGCCTGGTTTGTGCCTCGGAGAGGCTACGGGATCCAGTAAGTTCAGTAGAACTTCAGTTTCAACCCTTTTACCCTGTCGTAGCTCAGTCGATTAAGGCAGTGTCTGGGATGCTCCCGGACGCAGGTTCGAATCCTCGTCACGGCCCTTGTGGATTTGTTCCTTTGATGCATCACGTTAGTGTGATCTCTGTGTGTAAGGAGTTATATATACAGTACATGTGTCGATGTTTCTTTGTCTCAGTTTCGACACTTGATTCATGTCAGTTTTACTTCAATCAAGTTTTTAGGCACAGAAATTAGTACAAGATAATTGTTAAAATAATATTCTCTTGTTCCTGGTGCCATTATGTCTCCAATTTGTTGAAGAATCTTGGGAATGAAGTATTCAGTCTTGTCGTCTTCAGCATCAAGCACAGCCTGTCATTCACAGACGATAGTAGCTTTATTCACTATGGATGGACGAGCATAGTACTTAGTCACTATAGATGGACGAGCATAGTACTTAGGGTCACTATGGATGGACGAGCATAGTACTTAGGGTCACTATGGATGGACGAGCATAGTACCTATAGTCACTATGGATGGACGAGCATAGTACTTAGTCACTATAGATGGACGAGCATAGTACTTAGTCACTATAGATGGACGAGCATAGTACTTAGGGTCACTATAGATGGACGAGCATAGTACTTAGGGTCACTATGGATGGACGAGCAGAGTACCTACAGTCACTATGGATGGACGAGCATAGTACCTATAGTCACTATGGATGGACGAGCATAGTACTGACGAGCATAGTACCTATAGGTACTTAGTCACTATAGATGGATGGACGAGCATAGTACTTAGTCACTATAGGATGGACGAGCAGAGTACCTACAGTCACTATGGATGGACGAGCATAGTACCTATAGTCACTATGGATGGACGAGCATAGTACCTATAGTCACTATGGATGGACGTACACAGTACCTATAGTCACTATGGACAGATGTACACAGTACCTATAGTCACTATGGATGGACGAGCATAGTACCAATATTCACTATTAATGGAGGTAAACAGTACCTATATTCACTATCGAAGGAAGTACATAGTACCTATAGTCACTATTGAAGGAAATACATAGTACATATAGTCATTATTAGTGAATGTACATATTACCTATAATCACTATAGATAGATGTACGTAGAACCTATATTCACTTTGGATGGACGTACACAGTACGTATAGTCACTATTAATGGACATACACAATACCTATATTCACTATGGATTGGTCATACATATATAACTATAGTCACTATAGATGGACGCACATTCAGCCTATAGTCACTATGAATTGACATACATTGTACTTATAGTCACTATGGATGGGCGTACATAGTACCTATAGTCACTATAGATGGAGGTGCACAGTACCTATAGTCACTTTGGATGGACGTACATAGAAAATATTGTCACTATGAATGGACGTACTTAGTACCTATAGTCACTATGGATTGGCGTACACAATACCTTAGTCACTATTTCTAGAAATTTCCAAGACTTAATTACTAACCGCTAGTACAATAAGATGTAATTCTTGTACTAGGCATTATAATTAACTAACACTTCTAACCAGAAGGGTAGTGAAATTAATTTCATTTAATTAAGGCGTAGTACCGCCCGATTTCTCCCTAGAATCATGGCCGTGTTCCGTCAGTCAGCCAGCCATGCAATAATTTCTATATATTAATGGATTGAGCTGAATCCAGCCTCATTTACCTTTCTTTATTAACCCTTGGGCCGCTAAGGGTCATAATGGCTTCAACACCCTCAAGCGCAACAAAAAAAAATCCAAAAAACTCTTCCTTCTTATAAAAGTGTTCATTTGTGTTCCCTGATCAAGGGAAAAATAAAAAAAAATCGTAGGTGGCATAATTTGGGCGCAATAGAGCAGGGAAGTGTGGCAAAAAAGAGGCGTTGACAGAGCAGTCGCAAGACGACGTCTGCTCCGCCCGAGCTGTCAGGCGGGGTTGCCACAAAGATATTATTACCTAATTATTTCAATGTCTTTGATTGATTTTTTTTTTTTTTTGCAGTAATATTATTCAGTAGTGTGTATTGTGATATGTTTATATAATAAAATGTGTGAACCATCGCTGTACTCAAAATTATTGTTTTCATTTTAGTGATTCAGTTATTACGTTCATAGAACAATATACAAATAGTTTTGCTGTTATTACACTATATAAACATTTTATATATACGTATCTGCATGTTTTGTTCACCATAACGAACCACTAAGTTGGTATTGTGAGTCAAAAAGCAATGAAGAATGGCCGTCACTCACAAGCCAGCCAGCCACTCGCCACCTCACTCACCTCCTCACTCGCCAACATACTCCTCCCTCCTTACTGTTTTTGCTTTTATTCACTATACACAGACGTCAAATATAAGTATCTACATGTTTTGTTCACCATAACTGTACATGTAAGCTTGTATGGTGAGTAAAGGCAATAAGACGTAGCTACACAGAGTCAACTGGTGGCGGCCGCCCTCAAGGCCAGATGCACTAATATTTCTCCTCCAACAATACTGTTTGTGGTGTTATTACAGTATATACACACATTTGTATATATAGTACATAAGTATCATATAAGCATAAGTATCTGGAGAAGAGGGGGCCGAGCGGACAGCACACTGGACTTATGATCCTGTGGTCCCGGGTTCGATCCCGGGCACCGGCGAGAAACAATGGGCAGTGTTTCTTTCACCCTATGCCCCTGTTACCTAGCAGTAAAATAGGTACCTGGGTGTTAGTCAGCTGTCACGGGCTGCTTCCTGGGGGTGGAGGCCTGGTCGAGGACCGGGCCGCGGGGACACTAAAAAGCCCCGAAATCATCTCAAGATAACCTCAAGATAGATCTCCATGTTTTATTCACCATACCTGTACAAATAAGATGGTATGGTGCCCAAAGACCATAGTGGCCACCAGTACACATGACAAGTCGTGCAGACGACGCATCTGCCTCACCAAAATGGCGGCTCCCAACCTACTCCTATTGCTGTTATTACACTTTATACACACGTTATATACAAGTATCTACATATGTGTTTACCATAGCAAACCACTAATCTGGTATGGTGAGTGCAGTCAGTAAAAGTTGGCCACACATAGTCAGATGACAACGCCACCACTCTCTCTCCCACAGCCTTACTCCTCCCTCCATGGAGCACAGCGCTAAAATCACCACAATCCTGCTATTATCAGAATCCTGGTCAGTTTGATCACTGTCAAGGGTCTTCTGTAATACTATCATCGCTAAATAATAGCATGTACATATATATTTTGACATTTTGAGGCGATGCTATGGTCACAAGCTGAACAGCAGTGCTGTGCGCTCATGCTGCGTGCATCAGCCTTGTTGGCTCGCTCACTACTGAGGCTCTCACACCCAGGAATGTTGGCCACGATTTTTTTCTAGGCAGAGTCTGCCAACTATCGGTCGTGGCTGCACTAGACTTGCACTATGGAATAGCATTTACTATCTTATAAACTCCGTATTATGATGTAAATATTCGTCAGACAAGCCTCCTATATTTCGGAACTCTCTTTAAAAATAATACCAATTATACTAGGAGCCCCTGTATAAGCGCGAGTGCACATGCGTCACTGGAAGGAGTGACTTTGTGGAATCAGGAACATGTCTCTCTCAGTCTTAATACCACGCTGAAAGGCAAAACTTATTTAATTTCCACTCCAACTACGTATTCGCAGCTCTTATCCCTCTAATTATTTTAGATCTTGTGGTTAAATGCGCGAATACTAAATGAGAGTGGAAATTAAATAAGTTTTGCTACACACAAAATCACAATAGCGTGATGTAGCAAATGAACAAATCCACAACGGCCGTGATGAGGATTCGAACCCATGTCTGAGAGCATCCCAGACGCTGCCTTAATCGACTGGATGTGATTTAGTTATTGTCGATTAAGACAGTGTCTGGGATGCTCTCAGACGTAGGTTCGAATCCTTGTCATGGCCCTTGTGGATTTGTTCAAATAAGTTTTGCCTTTCAGCGTGGTATTAAGACTGAGGGAGACATGTTACTGATTCCACGATCATCTGTTGACACGGATTTCTATATCGGACTGGATTAAACGTGTTGTAGAGGATGATGTGATCTACGATCGTCCAAAACAGCTAAGGCTTTTCCAGTATTCTATTGTAGAGAGTTATTTATTATTATTGAGAGTCAAATTATTTTATATATTATTTTCTTAATCGATGTGTATTAACATCTCAATATTTCTTTAACTGAAGTGCATTAACTTCCCATTATTCACCCCCTAACTTGTAGGGTGTTAGGATTTAGTTCTGAATTAGTATTAATATTGCAGTCCATTTCTTTAAATATATTTAGTTATATTCATGAATAAATTATTTGAGATCCATAAGCCACTGGTTCTCTTATCTTTAATATTAATATTGCTCCTTCTAAACTTTTACTATAATTTCATTATAGATCTAACTTCTCCCCCACAACTATGGATGGACGTGCATATTAACTATATTTACTATGCATGTACTTACATAGAACATATAGTCACTATTGATGGACGTACATAAAACCTATATTCACTATGGATGGACGTACACTGTACCTATATTCACTATGGATGAACGTACATAGTACTTATAGTCACTATGGATGGATGTACACAGTACCTATAATCACTTTGAATGGACGAACATAGTACCCATAGTCACTATTGATGGACGTACACAGTACATATAATCACTATTGATGGACGTATGCAGTACCTTTAGTCATTTTTTCCTTATTCTCATATCTGATATAGACTAAAATACAAGTCATAGCTTCGTATCATCCTTTGCAGATGACTCAAAAATCACCATGAAAAAATTCCCTCTGCTGAAGACAGTGAAAAACTTCAAGCAGATATTAATAAAGTTTTCGACTGGCAACAAAAAGTAACATGATGTTTAATAGTGATAAATTCCAAATACACAGGTTCGGTAAAAATGAGGATCTTAAACATAATACGGGGCACAAAACACAATCAAATGTGAACAAAGTGGGAAAGCAGCATGGAAGTGATTTGGGAATAATGATGTCTGACGACTTAACGTTTAGGGAGCATAACCAAGCAAATATTGCGTCAGCCAGATAAAATATTAGGATGGATTACGAGAACTTTCAAATATAGGGATCCCATCACAATGGTTGAACTATACAAATCACTTGTACTGTCCTGTCTTGAGTACTGCTCAGTATTCACTTCCCCCTAAAAAGCGTGAGAGATTGCTGAAATAGAGGAAATACAGAGAACATTTACGGCATACATAGACTCGATAAAGCGCCTAAATTATTGGGATCGTCTCTAAGCTCTCTAAATGTACTCACTAGAAAGGAGAAGGGAGAGTTATCAAATAATATACACGTGGAAGGCACTGAAGGGTCAGGTCCCAAATCAACACAGTAAAATAACAACATACTGAAGTGAACGATATGGAAGAAAAGGCAGAATAGAACCAGTAAGGAGCAGGGGTGCCATAGGCACAATCAGAGAGCACTGTATAAGCATCACAGGTCCACGGTTGTTCCTCCCAGGTAGCATAAGAAATATTGCCAGAACAAATGTATACATCTTCAAGAGAAAACTAGATCATTTTCCCCAAGGAGTGCCTGACCAACTGGGCTGTGGTGGATATGTGACCCTGCGGCCATTCCAAGCAATAGCCTAGTGGACCAATCACTCAGAAAAAAAGCCTGACTTCGGGCCAGGCTTTGGGAGTAGAAGAACTCCCAGAACCCCATCAAGCAGTACCTGTAGTTCTTATTGATGGACATACTTAATAGTCACTATGCAGTTCGTACATAGAACCAAGCAGGTACTATAGATGGTCTTACACAGTATCTATATTCACTATGCATGGACGTATCCGACATAACATAACACAGTTACCCCATTAAAAAAGGGAATGGGCGACTCCGTGACGTCATCACAACAGTCGTGTATATATTAACTATTATTTCTATTTAAACCTCAGTCTAGTGTTTAAACTTAATAAAAAAGTGTTCACTAGGACTGAATATAATTAAATACAACAAAAATATAGCTTGACTCTCGTATCCTTAAGACATTAATGGAACCATCAAATATTATTGGAACAAAAACATTGAAGGAGAGTCACAGCGTCACTACAGACAGCAACTTGTAAACAATAGGAAGGAGGCAGAAGGTCTCTTTGAGGTTCGCATTCGCGGCACTGCAGAGGTTAATTTATACCGCCCAATAGTGTTCCAGCCACAGCAACCTCTACATCAACCATAAGAAGTATTGTATCAGGTAAAACAAATAGTGTATATAATTGTAGCGGCCATTATAAAGTGTTTGCACTTTTGCCGGTTATGATATGCCAGCAACCCAAAAAAAGGGTAAGCCTGGGTTTTATTTAAAACAATGATTCCTTGTTGTATAACACATTTGTGAATGAAGTTTAGTTCTCTGTAATTTATTCACAGGTGTGGTTCAAGGGAGGATGTCACTGTGAGAGTTTAAGAAATGGAATATGGAATGGTAATGAGGAATTGAACTCGGAAAATTTAAACAAAAATTCTTTAGTTCTTTAAACCTTTATTCCTGTCGTGATATTCAATTAGGTCGCCTCAGGAAGGACTTCCTTAGCTAACACACCAGTGTAGTAAGCAGCTCATTCCTTACTCTAGGACCATTTATGAACAATTGACTAGGCGCGAGCAAGCACCGAGACCCCAAAAAGCTTGAAATCCCCTCCACTAGGCCGTTGACCTTCGCCATTCGCCAAAGTGAATCTAGCGAGTAGGTCCACGGCTCTCACAACAATAATTTATTGGTGTGTGGTGCCATATATTTAGTCCAAAACCCATGAATCAGTCTCAATTTAATAGTCGTGTGTGTGAAGAAAAACTTACAGAACCATATAAATGTGTGGGGTGTAACGAAGAGACAGTGTTCAACATAACAACTTAGTTTATTCAATAAAGACTAACTACAACAACAACAAAAACAAAAGAAATATCAATGACGTTACTCGAAATCCTTCCTGTGACACTATCAATGACAGCTAGACACCAGCCCCTCGGACTGCATAATGAACTAACTCGAACATAAGGCGTGAACACAGAGGAATCAAACAAGCAAGCAAGACACAGATCTATAATCACACCTGCAACTATGACACAGCAGGTTCTGAGACACGTCTCCAGTAACCTCCTAACTGTTCTATGCCTCTGATCAGTCTACACCTGCACTAGCGGTTGCAATGCAATTAAATCAGTAGCCTGTCAATGACACATCAATGACTAATGGGTTCACTGGACACTCCAGCACCCTTCCTCAATTAATCTTTACGTTAACACTCCGTCCCACAGACGATCAACAATCAATAAAAATTTGATTTACGTTAATAACAAAGTAACATTTACGTTAACCTAATAAATCTTACAACTGTCTCTAGTAACACGGAAATTACACAAACACTCTACCCGTCGAATATTCAGTGACTAAATCCCATTAATCCCTATACGTCCAGACAGTTGAATAATCTCTTTACTAGTTATGTTAATTTACGTTATTGGTTCCTAACAATTAACGATAGTTAACTCTGATTTACAATGTCTAAAGTGCTAAGAAAACGGTAATCACTCGTGATTACCCTTAGAGCAATTAATTACTATCCTCAAGATCAATAATTAATCAATTAAATACGCAACCTTTCACACTGGCTCAGAAATTTACATTAAGGTTTGAATTCCGTCCGAGCCTTCAATACGCAGACCAATTCAGATGATTAAGGAGCAAATCACCACGTTTACGTTATTCTAAAATGACTTAACTCTTCCCACCAGTCAGTCAAGTGCCGGTATTTCCTGACAGATAAATAACGACGTTACGTTGATGGAACAATGGAGCCTTCGTGTTAGTCGATCAAACACGGATAGAAGTTAATTACTTTGACTTCCTGAAACACGTCAATTATCCGCCCAACTGACCGGTAATTACGACAGACAATACTCAAATTCTTGTCTGGCTGATGGCTAGCCTACCCTGAGACTACCGTAGCTGCTTTCAGGAAAATAATTAACCCAAACGTATCTTACTCTACTCTACTTGTTAAAGAACAAATTCTCTTAAAGCAATGGGTGTTTCCTTGGTTACGTTATATTAATTGCCTCGCAATCACCTCACTGAATACTGGACATCGATGTCCTACCAGATAAACAGGAGAATATATGTATACCCAAGTACTCGTCTTCAACCGAGTTCACCCATGACAATGATAAATCACACTAACAAATCATAGTGATTTATGTTACAATCCGTTGCAATGACAATACTGCAGGGGTCTGACCCGAGCTTCTGTTGGGGACGGACGTGTTGCCTTGGCGCTCCGGCTGTTGGTGTTGTTTACCAATTTGGTCGGTTGGGGGGCAGGTGTGTCACTGCCTGCCTGTGCTGACGTGAAGTTCACGATGGGGGTCCCCCTCCCCCCTGTACTGCGGGCTCAGTCTGTGGGCCTCGAATTTTCCGGCCGGGCTGGGTACCCAGAGATAGGGCTGGTGTGTGAGTTGCTTCATATCCCTGTGATCAACGTTTATGGTGTCGAGCTGGTGACGGCTCGTCGAGCGATATTGAAGTTTACCAAGGAATTGGCATATTGCGACTTTCTCCGTCGTTACGAGGGGCGGACATTACCCCTGCCGGATGGTGCGGGCACTGTGTCACTATCTGATCGGAGTGGTGCCCTCACTTACGTCAGTGTGCATGGAGCTCCGTTGGAGTTTCCAGAGAGTCTGTTACGGCGGTACTTCGGCCGGTATGGCGCAGTGGTTAGTGTACGGGTGAACGTGGTGTCTTCCAATCCACTTAAGGGTGTGAGGACTAACATTCGCACCCTGGGCATGAGGCTTCGGGAAGATATTCCATCCTCTGTACGGCTCATGGGCTACAACGTTCGGGTGTTTTATGCCCGCCAGCCTCGGACGTGTTATCGTTGTGGCCTCTTGGGCCATCAGGCTGCTGACTGTTCTGCGCCTGCCGTTGCATCCGTGAACCTCTTCAGTGAGGAGGATTTTCCGCCGCTTCCTGTGGAGGAGGATTCAGTGGATGTGGCCGTCTCTTCAGCCGCGGATGTGCCCCCTGTGTCACCTGTTGCGCCGCCTGGTGTGCCCCCTGTTGTTGTCGCCTCTCCTCAAGAGGTTGTGGCGTTGCAGGGTATTCGTCCTGCTCCGACTAGTGTCCCTGGGGTTCTTCAGACTGCCTGCTGCTCGATTCCTCCGTCTTCCAGTTCGTCCTCTGCTGCATCTGACCCTGTCCCTGCACCCTTGCCGGCTGTGCTGGGTGATGGGGTGGATCCTGCGCTTCCTCCTGTGCCTGGCCTGGTGCCCCATGTGGTTGAGGATGCTGGCGTTTTATACGTGTGTCGGTTCGTCCGGCTTGTATTGCGCGTGTCTCTGAGTCGGCCTCCGGGTCTGATGATGTGCGGCCAGAGCCTAAGCGTTCCTGGCGTTCGTCTTCAGCTTGGGCTGACGTTGGCGATTTCGACGCTTGTGGCTCTGGTTGCGTTGCAGACTCCGGTGACGGCGGAGGTGCATTTGCCTGAGGATGCCAGTGCCGGTGTTTCGGCCTCCACTTCAGATATGGTGTCTGCGGTTCCTGCTTCGGGTGCGTCGCCTGCCTCGGATGGCTCCGGTTCTTCGTGGTGAGGGTGGTTCCCCCTGCTGAGGTTCACAGTGAGCGGGGTGGCCTGGTGATGGTGTTGAAAAAGACTGCTCGCTCTGGTGGTTCTGTAACCCCTTCCTCGGTCCCCGTTTCATCGACTACAGTCTCGACGCCTCTTCCGTCTCCGGCCATCTCTTCAGTGTCTCCTGCGGTCTCGGTGGAGACGTTACCATCTTGTCGCTTGTCCCCTGCTCCTGTGCGTACGGCGACGCGGCCGTCCCGGCAGCCCTTGTACGCTTCATCGGTGTCGTCTGCTACCTCGAAGGACGTGGCTTGCGCTCCCCAGCCTCGTTATGCGACTTGCGTCGGTGAGCTTCAGGAGTGGCCGTTTCCACCTGATCTGGAGGTTCTCGAGTTTATGCTGGGCCCACGGCGGCAGGGGGATCGTCCCCCCACCGACACGGAGTATTTGATTTGGGAGGCCTATAAGAGAAGGTATCCTTGGGATTCGTTCCCTGAGAAATATATTCCTGTCTCTGAGAAATGTATTCCTCGCTCATGATTCCTTTGTGTATTGTGGGTTGTTTCCATTTGTGTCCATGGTTGTGGGGTGCGGGTCGGGTGTGGGTGGGGCGGGTTTGTTTCCCGGTTCCTGCGTTCTCCAGTTTGTAGTTGTGGGTTTTGTGTCGTGCGGTCCGGGGTTTGGTTGGTGTGTGTGTCTAGTTGTGGATGTCGTGTTCTTGGGTTATGCTTTGTTGTTCTATGTTTTTACGATGCTGTTTGTGCGCTTGTTTGTGTCGTGTTAAGTGCCCTTCAGGCTGTTGGCGTGACCCGGTCTGGGTTTATGTTTTTTGTCGTGTCTTACCATTGTGCTTTTCTTTCTGTTTGTTGTATATTTGTTTTCCTTTTTTGTTATTTCTATTATTATTATTATTATTATTATTATTATTATTGTTTTCGTTTTGTGTTGGTGCCTCTCCGTGTGTGTTTGCGGTGCTGGTAGCCTTCTTCTGAATATTTCATGTGTTTGATGTGTTATTTCTGTATTGTATTCCGCTGTGTTTTAACTTGCTTGTTGTAATTTGTTTGTAATTATTGTTGTTTTGTGGTCGGCCCTTCTGGCCGGCGTCTTTGTGTTTAGTACAGATCCTTTATGTTTTTGCACGTTTGTGCTTTGTACTTTTGGTCTGTTCCATGTTGTAATTATTTACTTTTATTGTAATTATAAGCATGCTTGCATGTAAAAATAAATAAACAAAATAAAAAATAAATAAAATTGCCTCGCAATCACCTCACTGAATACTGGACATCGATGTCCTACCAGATAAACAGGAGAATATATGTATACCCAATAACTCGTCTTGAACCGAGTTCACCCATGACAATGATAAATCACACTAACAAATCATTGTGATTTATGTTACAATCCGGTTGCAATGACAATACTGCAGATACCCTGAAAATAACCCTCAGGACATGAACCCTCAAGAACACGCCCCCCACAATGATTTACTGAACTACAAAACACACCTCGGTGATTGATCAACACTGGCAACAATCATCATCAATGACAACCCCTTTGCAATAACACACACAGCAATGTGCACTAAATCAAACTATATTAATACGCTGCCCAACACTTACTTACTGTTTCAAATGACCCCAGTGCTCTAATTACCAGTCGCTCTAATTAATTAATTGCTCTAATTAATTAATTACCAGTAATTAAATCGTCTGATGTGGTTCCTGGAACACCATTTCCTCCTCTCCCCTTCTCAATTTGGTTTTCACCAGTGAAAAGTCACCAGTGGAGTCCCACAAGGCCCTGTACTCGGTCCAATCTTGTTTCTGATATATGTAAATGATCTCCCGGAGGGTATCGATTCATTTCTCTCAATGTTTGCAGACGATGCCAAAATTATGAGGAGGA